GAGGGCTTTGTGTTCTTAAGGAGTGTTTGGCAATTTCTATTTGGCTGATGGCTGATGTCTCCTGTTAGCTTCTATTGCTCTGCTGTTGTTAGCTGTAAGTTTTGCTGCAAGGGATTTTGAAGTATTTTTCTCCTGAATGGATTTTGCCTGTAGCATTCCTTTACTTATGAATGGAGCCATTTGGGGAGGTTGCCTTAGCTGGCAGCCAGTACTTACATTTTTTTTTCTTCCTTAAGTGCCGGCTGCGCTCCTTGCTTTCCTTTCTAGCCAGTAGCTAATTCTTAAAGGGGAATGTGCCTTTTTAAGCTAGTTCACTCAGCAGCTTGTCTTTTCTGTCTCTGGGGGCCTTTCCTTGTTTGATCAATATATGGAAGAGGGAAAATATGGGAGGGGGGTTCAAATTCTTCCTTCAGAAGGAGATGGGAATGAGAAAAAGGGAGGCAGGGAAGGGAGGGAGGAAAGAAAGTCCTGCCTTAGCACTTGGCCACCAGCAGCTCTGCCATTGACTTTGCTTGTCAAAAGGTTGCAGAAGGGGATCACATGACCCTGGAACACTGTGACCATTATAAATATGAATCAGTTGCCAAGCATCCAAATATAAATCACATGTCCCTGGGCATGCTGCAATGGTCATAAGTGTGAAAAATGGTCATAAGTCATTTCAGTGCAATTGCAACTTTGAACAGGTTTTTTTTTTGGGTCATCAAGTTTTTGACACCTTGCTAGGTGGTACTCGAATATTGCCATATCCTAAAAGTGGTACAATTGGTAAAAAGGTTGAAAAGCCCTGCAATAGGGGCTGAGCCGCGACCTATTCTACATGTGCCTAGCCCGAGGGATCCTGAATCGGCTTAGTGACTGGTACCAGCTAGTCACTACCATGGAGGTAGACCTGGAGGTTTACAACAACAGCAGGAGCTTCGGACCACAGGAGAAGAAAAGCCAAGGGAAGAGCACGTTGGGGAGAAGACGGCCAGCGGCAGTGTCCCCAGTGCCTACAGGGCCATCTGACTGTGCTCCCATCAGGTGTTTTTGCTGTGGCCAAGAGGGACACAGGGCAGCAACGTGCCCAGCACCTACCCCTCGGATGGCGTCCGTGGCACTGACCCCCTTAAAGCCAAAGAAGGTGCCGAAGGGGATGGAGAATTCATGAGCATCAACCCAAGTCATTGAGGTCTCCCCTCCAGTGCACAGATGGGATGGAACTCCGACCAAAGAGGGGCTGCCGATGGAGGCCTTTAGCAAGAAAGAGTACAATGTCCTGCCCCCTCACTGCCCCATGGACTGTGCTATCAAGATACTGCCCGGGGTGAAACTCCCCAAGCCAAAGATCGACTCCATGACTCCAAAGGAGATGAAGGAGCTCAGGGAGTATATTGACAAGAATCCGGCGAGGGGGTTCATCCAAGCAGCAAAATCCCGAGTAGCGGCACCAGTACTATTTAAGGAAAAGAAAGATGGCTCGCTGAGATTATTCGTTGATTTCCATGGGATTAATGGTGTGAACGTGGAGAACATGTACCATCTCCCTCTCATGAAGGATATGCTAGGGCCTAGGCCATTTGGCCAAAGGGAAAATCTTCACGAAATTAGACCTCAGTGAAGTGTACTACCGAGTGAGGATTAAGGAAGGTAATGAGTAGAAGACAGCCTTCAACTGCCCCCTTGGTAGCTACCAAGTTAAAGTTATACCCTTTGGACTACAAGGAGCCTGTGCTGTGTTCATGCAACTCATAAATGAGGTGCTGCATGAGCACCTCTATAAGGGGGTCCTAGTGTATCATGATGACATCCTCATTTTCATGGAAACCATGGATGAGCACGTGAAACTCGTACTATGGGTACTGAAAAAACTATTGGATGCTAAGCTGTATGCTAAACTGTCAAAATGTGAGTTTCACAAATCTAGTGTCAAGGTTCTGATAGATGAGACCAGATAAATCAGAACTTTGAGGTTAGAGGCTTCCTCAAAGAACATGTTTATTGGTACAAAGTATTGGCACGATCAAAAGTGAAACCGAGTCTGAAATACCCTCCAAAGAATTGCACTATTACAAAGTTAAACTTCCCACCCCAATACTATGCAATCAATTACGTGTCCCAATAGAATAGGTTGGCGGGATTTCTAATAGTACACCCAACCCCCTCATCTACAATAATCTGTCTACAAGGACAGATTATTTATCTAGGGTCTGTAATCTGTGCTCTTCAGGCAGAAATTAGGTGTCCAGTTCAGCCCTTCTACTCTATTGAGCCTCCGCGCTATCAGCCCCCTCTACCACAAAGATCCTGCAAGAGAAGGGCAGTGTGGACAACCGTGGGATCTGGCAGGGTGAGAGCTGTGAACCATAAACACAAAGCTTTCGCTGTGTCCCTGTACAATAGATACAGTGCCCTTGCTGATCTTAATAGGGACATTAAGGAGACAGGTAAAGGTATTTGTGATGATAACTCAAATAAGCAGGCGATTGTGGTCCGGGATGAAGAACTTGTTTTTGACAGGGAGAAGTGCAAATCAGGTATTACACATCAGTCATGCAAGAACAGAAAGGCATCCAAAAAGAGAAGCCACCTTCTGGTTGGTGATTCAATTATAAGGGATGTAAATTTAGGAAAGGACACAGAGGTTTTGAAAGAGGTCAGGTGTCTTCCAGGTGCTACTGCCAGTGGGGACAAGAAGCGTATTTTCAAAATAGTCAAGAATGCCAGCAAGGACTGTGATGTGGATGCTATTGTACATCTTGGCACTAACGATCTTTCCCAAAAAGATGTACTCTCTGTGCAGAACGATTTCCAGAGCTTGGGGCAGGAACTTAGCAGGATAGGCTGTAGGCTTACTTTTTCAGAGGTTTTACCAGTGTATAAGGAGCAAAATGGAAAAGGCCAGCGTATAGCAGAATTCAATATGTGGCTAAAGGAGTGGTGTAAAGGGGAAGGCTTTGGATATATTAGTCACGATGTCTGTAGCTGGTCCAATGAAACAATGTACAAAAGAGATGGTTTGCATCCATCAAAGAAAGGGACTGGGTTACTTGGCAATAAACTCACAGATTTTCTGGAGGAATATTTAAACTAAACAACGGGGACAGTGAGTTAATTGATACAGAACATCCCTGTCCCCGGCAATCAAAAAATTACAGGCAAGCAGCTTCCCTACAACACTAAGAAGAGAGATGCCGCGGTAGTTGTTACAATCACCCCTGTCGCCTTTGTTCTTATACAGTGTGACGATATTTGCATCCTTCATGTCCTGTGGTACTCCACCTTCCCTGCAACAAAGGCAGAAGATTTCGTGCAATTCAATGGGGAGGCTCTCTTTGCAGCACTTCAGAATTTCGGCAGGGATGTTATCTTTCCCGGGTGCCTTGCCAGAGGCAAGGGAGTCCAGGGCTGCATTTAATTCTTCTAAAGTTGGTTCACTGTCGAGCTCCTCCAAGACAGGCAGGCACTCAATATTATTTAATGCTTCTTCAGTTACCTCATTTTCTCTGGAATATAACTCAGAGTAGTGCTGCACCCAGCGTGCCATCTTCTGTGCTCGGTCCCGGATAACCTCGCCTGTGGCAGACTTCAGAGAGGCAGATTTCTTCTGTGTTGGACCTAAGGCCTGCTTAATGCCATCATACATCCCCTTGTTGTTGCCTGTGTCAGCTGCTATCTGGATCCGAGAGCAAAGCTGCAGCCAATAGTCATTAGCACATCTCCTGGCGGTCTGTTGGACTTTGCTACGCGCAGCTCACAGAACACGTAGGTTGCGCTCACTGGAACGGGCTTTATATGCAATTAAAGCTCTCCTTTTTTCCTCGATGGCTGGCGTCAGGTCATCCGAATGGGCTTCAAACCAATCTGCTGTCTTTCTGATCTCTTTACCAAATATTGACAGAGCGGTGTTATAAACAGCGTTCTTGAAATATACCCAACGTTCAGATGCATTTGCTTCAGCCAGGCCTGGGAGAGTCTCCTTTAGTGCTTGTGCAAATTCCTCCACTTTGCCCTGATTGCGGGTCTTGCTAGTATCAATACGCGGTCTTCCTTCCTTCTTCGAGTGATGCAATCTCTTTATTTTCAGTTTTATTTTGCTGCACACCAAGGAGTGGTCTGTATCACAATCAGAACCCTGATAGCTGCGTGTGATTATAACACTGGGAAGGTTGGAGCACCTAGTAAGAATCAAGTTGAGCTGGTGCCAATGCTTTGATCTTGGGTGTCTCCAGGAGACACTGTGTTGAGGCTTTGTTTTAAAGAATGTATTGCTAACACAAAAACTGTAGTAGCAGCAGAACTCCAGCAGGCATTGGCCATTTTCGTTCATCTTCCCAACGCCGAACTGACCTAGGCAAGTGGGCCAAGAACTCAGCTCCAACTCTGGCATTAAAGTCGCCAAGGATAAACAGTGGTTCTTTCTCAGGGATTTTCTTGATAATAGCAGCCAGATTGTCGTAGAATTTGTCTTTGGATTCTACTGAAGATGATGTTGGTGCGTATGCGCTAATAAGAGTAACCAATCCTGCTGATGAGTGTAGCTTCAAGGACAGAATTCTTTCACTTCCAGCAGCAGGTGGAGTAATGAATCCTAGTAGGGTGTTTCTGACTGCAAAGCCAACCCCGTATTCCCTAGTCTCATTCGATGGTTTCCCCTGCCAGAAGAACGAGAAATTTCTCTCCTTAACAGATCCCGAGTCTGACAGCCTTGCCTCTTGAAGGGCAACGATGTCCATCTGCAGTCTACTCAGCTCCATATCGATGACAGCTGTCTTATGTATGTCATCTATTTCTTGCGAATCGTCAGAAAGACCAGGGGTCATTGTCCGAACATTCCAAGTGCCCAACTTTAGGGCAAAAATTTTCTTGTGTTTGTTGCATGGTGCAGAGTTATCGATCTGCTTGTCGGCTTTAACTCTAAACCCCACGCACCCAGTGAGGTTAACAGACTGTGGCAGGGTGGCACCTTACTGGCTGGGGGCTGCCCAGCTTAAGGTGGGCGGTAGCTGCCCAATGAGGTACTATGACCTCTCCCACTGTTGAAAGTGGCCCCTGGCGTCATGCTCTATGCCAATCAAGCAAAGACTTATAACCGGTAACTGCCACTTCCTGTGTTATTTCAATGCTGTATGCAAAGCTGGAGTGTCCTCTCCAGAGCACAAGGCCTGAGTAGATTAATATGGAGGATAGGCTGTTACCCAGGCAGCAGATCCCCCCTCTCCACGTCGCTGAAATAGTCCAATGGAACGGCGAAGCTGATACAATTAGTTCCAGCTGCATCGCAGGAGTTACCAGAATGTGATTGTACGCAGTCACGAACTGCTTCCAGGACTCCGGCTCCAGATTTTTGCCTCGAGGTTAACTCCTGAAGCCTTTTCCAATAGCCACTCATCCATAGCCACAAGGCAGTGGAGGTTTGAAATCAGAGTTTCCCTTCTCCTAGAAGATGGTTCTGCTGCTTTATCCGCCGATGAGGCATAAGGCCCTCTTCCACCTTCAAAACCATTGGCCATCTTCTCCTGTAACCCTAGAAAGGAGCCCTTACAAGGTGCTACCAGCCGGGCCAGCTGGACCAAGGTTTTTTAAGGAGGTATTACTCCTCCAGCACTCCTCCTCACTCCAGGACTCCTACTCCAGATTTTGCCTCGGGATTGCTCATTCACTCCTTCACTTACTACCCCATCACTTCCAAACGCCATTTGCTCATTCACTTCCACACATACTACCCCATCAGTTGCAAATGCCATTTACTTGTACACTCCCTCACATGCTGCCCTTCACTTCCAAAGGCCGTTTACTCATTCATTCCCTCGCTTACTACCCCGTCACTTCCAAACACCATTTACTCATTCACTCATTACTCATTCATTCCCACACATTCACTCATTCACTCCCACACATACTACCCCGTCACTTCCAAAACGCTCCATCGCCCCATCACTCCCACACGTACTACCCCGTCGCTTCCAAACACCATTTACCCCATCACTTCCAAACGCCATTTGCTCATTCACTCCCACACATGCTACCCCGTCAGTTGCAAATGCCATTTGCTCATACACTCCCTCACTTGCTGCCCCGTTGCTTCCAAATGCCATTTACTCATTCATTCATTCATTCCCTCACTTACTACCCCGTCGCTTCCAAACACCATTTACTCATTCACTCATTACTCATTCATTCCCACACATTCACTCATTCACTCATTAGACTATCAGAAAACCTCCACTTCCCCCTCCCATTCCTGTGGCAACCTAGAACGAGCAAGATGGCTTCAGCCAGGTTTGTTGTAGAGTTGACAGTCAGACCCCCTAAAGAGAAAGCAGATCCTGCAAGGAAAACAAAAGCAGAAATTAAGAATCACCCCGAGGTTTTTTAGGATGTTTATCATAGAACTGCTATATTAGTCTGTCTGCCTTAACATCTGCACTTTTCACCCATGTAGCTTCCGATAATGGATAACCTTCCCACTGCACTAAGTACTGCAACTTCCCTTTATATACTCTAGAATCGAGAATGCATTTGATCTCTTAATGGGTTTCCCCTTCAACTAAAATGGGACCCAGTGCCTTCTTAGGGATTGGACATAATGAGGATTCCCTGACAGGCTTTAGAAAACTGGAATGAAAAACAGGGTGAATCTTTCCTAGTAAACGAGGGAGTTTCAACTCAACTGTAACAGGATTTATAATTTTAGTTATGGGGAAGGGACCAAGGAATTTGGGTCCTAATTTCTTGCTAGGCAATTTGAGTCTTAAATATTTGGTAAACTTTCTCCCCCACATAAAACTGCCTCTGAGGGGAATGCTTCTTATCAGCTTGTTCTTTGTATGTTTTGGTCGCTTGAGCCAAGGCTTTCTTTATAACAAGTTTTTATTGGTTTTCCAGTTTTACATTTGAGTATTTGGAAAGCAGCATGGTGATTGGGTAGTCAGTAGTACAATAACAAAATCTTTAGTACATATCTCAGGTTACACCATCAAAAAATTCCTTCTCTATTTCCCTTAACATTTGCTATATCATATTAAATTTCTAATTATAACAAACTCAGTTAAAAAATTTATCATTATATTTTTGCTTATACATATCCATATCCTGTATTTAAATTTTAACTAATTTTTAATTACTGTCACTCTCGGTCCGACGGCGTCCCGAGAGGAAGAATACAACAGGAACGCAGGTACGTGGTGTAAGCAAGGTGATTTAATTCCCAGCCAAAACAAAGTCAGCACTGGGAGTGGTTTGCTCCCAGTGCTGTATATAGATGTGCCACGCCCCTTCACCCCGCCCCCAGCAGCAAGCCAACATCCGCCTTAGGTACATAAATGTCCCCGTAGTTTGGTCCCGCCCTTCCCTGGAATCAGTCATGCAGTGCTTGTTGTCCAGTCGGCCGCCTGGCTGCTGCACCCCGTCACCGCCGTCCCGGCCAGTTCCCAGGTCGTTGCAGCCCCGTCCGGGCGGCAGAGGCCTTTACTTGGCTCCTGGGTCCTCCTTGCAGCGTCTGTCTCGCCGTTCGGCCTCTCGCTTGCTGTTTACAGCTTGCTGTTTGCACGCTGTTTGCAAGCTGTTTGCGGCCTTCCCTCGCTCGCAGCGACCTTCGCTGGCCCCTCCCATGGCATCCACGAGCCTCCCTGGCCCCCTGCGGCCTCCGTCGGCCGGCGTCAGCATTCCCGGCTGGCTACCGGCAGAAGGCCGCCCCCTGCATGCTTCCTGCCTCCCCCTCGCGCTTGGCGATGCCGGCCGGGGCCTCCTCGGCCCGAACACAGTAGGCGGTGGCGCAGGGAAATGAGGGGAGGGGGGAGGGTTGTACCTGCTGGCCGGGGCGACGCCGGAGGAGAGCTGGGCGGCTGCGGCGGCGTTCTGGTGTTGGGCGGCTGCGGCGGCGTTCGGCTGCTGCGGGCTTTGCCACTTCCCCCCCCCCCCAGTGAATGGCAAGCCCCGTGGGGCTTGACATGCAGCCCCCTCTACCACGGTTAGAGGGCGCCGTTCCCGTGGGGCTTGACAATTACAATATTCCAATTTAACCTTTAATATCCATAGTATTTAAATTTCGGGTAACCCAAATTTCCTTTATTTCACTATATAAAAATTATAATATCTAAGATACACCTATTACTTACTTGAATATATTCTTATTTTATTTCATAAACATATTCTATTTCTCATCCTAGTACATCACTACTTACTAATGGAGTCTCCTTTATTGTCTGAAATCCATCGTCTGTGTTATCTGGGCTAAACAATAATTCGAAGCTATTCCCTAATAATTATGTCATGTGTCTGATTAACGAAACACTTAAAAGGACTTTCAGGCATATTTTCTCCTAAAAGCATTTATTAAGGTTACAATACGTCAGTACAGCATGGTGGAAATGCTTAGGTCTGCTTCTCTTCCGTTACGCATAACATTCCAAGCATTTTCCACTCCCTTATTGTAGGGTCATGGTTCACATCTTCCAGTCAACTTGGAAGATGTGATTTACTTCCGGTTTCTTTCTCCCGGGCTATCCTTATGCTCCTCCCTCTTTCCCAGTTGCTGGTTTAACTATATATATATACCAGACAGTTCTGCACATTGTCAAAGCAAGAATATACAGTATTTGCAGCGTTGACATCCGGCCCCCCTTACAAAAAGGACAGATCTTG